AAAAAAAAAAAAGAAATTTCTTTTGGCTATTTCCAAATTTCACATAATTTTTTTGATAAGGACAATAATATGACTTATGATATAGGACTATTAAGAGTTTTAAATAATTGAATGCAGACCCTGACACACAGTTAGTGTTTAATAATTGTCCACTATTATTCACTATTAGCAAGAGACATGAACAGAAGCTTCTCTGAAAAATACAGATGAATGGCCAATGAACACAAGAAAAATGCTCATATTCCCTAAATCATTAGAGAAACACAGGGCAAGACCACCTGGAGATGTGACCTAGCCCCTGTGAGAATAGCCCAAAGCTGCAGATGCTGCCATGGATCTGGACTGTTGGGACTGCAAATTAATACAGCCTCTTTGGAAAGAATCATAGAAAAGCCTCAAAGAGCTAAAAGTAAATCTTCCATTTGGTACCTCAAGCCCACTACTAGGGATCTACCCAGAAAAAAATAATACCATTTTACCATAAGGACATTTGCACTAGATTGTTCATCACAGGTCAATTCATAATTGCCGAGATGTGGAAACAACAGAAGTTCCCATCAACCCATGAATGGGTTAATAAGTTGTGCTTTACATATACCCTGGAATACTATTCAGCCATAAAAAGATGGAGAGTTTACCTCTTCTGTAATAAACTGGATGGAGTTGAAGAACATTCTCCTTCGTAAAATATCACAAAAATGGAAAAGCAAGTATCCAAAGTACTCAGTACTTATGTAAAACCAATAGATAAATAACTACATGCTCATGTGAAAGAAAAACACAATTAAAGTCAAGTGGGAAGGAGAGAGAGAGCTGAGGGGGGGAGGGAGGGTATTTGGTTAGCTCTCGCCTAATGCGCACTCAGGAGCCCCTGGGTGAAGGGCTCAACTACGTCTTGGACTTTACCTAACAAACACAAACAATGTAACCTAATCATCTGCACCCTCATATTAATCTGAAATAAAATGTAACAGCTGCCCACTGTGATAGTATGAGGTCAAATCTAATGCTGCACACTTGGCGCTCACAAGGGGGCGCTGTGCTTCCCAAGAATCTGTGGGTTTTGTTTCCACACCTGTTTATTCTAATTGTATTTGTTGCGGTAATTACTTGACTTTGTTTCATATCACAAAAATTAATGAAATAAGGGTGTGACAAACAATTCTTTGTGAGGACACTACGTTGAAAGATTTCATGATAATAAATTACTAAAAATATTGTTAAAAGTTAGGAAGACAGTGTTAATGACTAGAGAGAAAAATCCAAACTCTAGAAAGCATTCCATACCAAGTTCGCTTTGCAAATGTTTTTGATTTCTTATGCCACTTCAAAGAGACCAAAACTGACAATCAATCATTAAAGATGTGTTCTGGGTTTGTTTCATGCAAGGCTCATATTCAAGAAGTCCTTGGCCCTGCTTCAAAAGATCGAGTGCTTTCTGTTACAATAAAATCATTAGAAATTTTTATATGTGATTTTTATGATTACCTGCTTTAGTACACTTTTTCACATAAAGGATCAACTACCACAAGTCATGACTGTATTAGTAAGACGGTCTCTATGATGCATGGAAGAATCACACAGAGGTGATATGTAAGAGACCTAAATCCTGGCCAGTCGCAGTGGTTCACGCCTGTCATCCTAGCACTCTGGGAGGTTGAGGAGGGAGGATCACTTGGATCAGGAGTTTGAAACCAGCCTGCACAAAGTGAGATCCCCCACTGCTAAAAATTAGAGGGGCATGGTGGTATGTGCCAGTAGTCCCACCTAATAAGGAAGTTGAGGCAGAAGGATTGCTTGAGCCCATGAGTTTGAGGTTGCTGTGAGCTAGGCTGAGGCCATGGCACTCTAGGCCATGTGACAGAGTGAGACTTGTCTTAAGAAAAAAGACAGAACTAAATCTTCCTCTATGGTAAAAATTAGTAAATAAAAATAGTTCATATTGATAAACCAAGAAATAATATTAGAGACGTATCATTTGGAGATAAGGAGTTAACTTACTTATACATAAAAGGAATCAACACAAGAATTCAATTGTTTACCTCTAGCAGCAGTTCTCAACCTGTGGGTCACGACCCACAGGAACTGTATTAAAGGGCTGCAGCATTAGGAAGGTTGAGAACCACTGGTCTGGAGTAGAGGACTTTTGCTGGAGAGGCTTGGACCAGAGGACACTTAGCACTGCTTAATTATTTTCAGCATGTGCATATATTGCTTCAGTAAAGTAATTCATAAAGTGAGTGGGAGAAGCTGTAAAGAGAGTTTGTGCAAACTCCATCACCTCTGGTCATCTTCAGACAATTAAAGATGTAATTCTTTCCCCGTTTCTGTAGGCGCGCCTATTCTACTGCTATTCAAAGCTGCTTTCCTTTTCTGCTTTTATTCCTATAAGTTAATGTTGTATGTTGTCTTTGAATTTGCTTTAGGATTACCTTTAATATCTCACACCTGTGCTATTTTTAAAACTTTTCACAAATTCATTTATTCTCCTTTCTCTTAAAGGTGAGTTCCTGCTAACAAGGAAGCAGGACAGAAATGAAGTAATGTGGCTTCCAATGACAGATCACAACAGGTCATTTAGTCATTTAGCTTTTCTTTTGCTCTCTTTCTTGAGTTACTCCCTCTGGAGGAAGCCAGCTGCCACATGGGCAGGACCCACCTGCTGACCTGTGAAGAGTCTCTCCTGAGGAACTGAGGTGTCCTGTCAAGGGCTGCACCAACGCCCTCCAGCCCTGCTCCAGCCCTCAGATGGCTGCAGTCCTGGAATGAGCCAGCCATGCCACACCCCCAGAATCCTCCAGCTTCACCACACACAAACTCGTGACCCGCAGAGACTGAGATAATAAATGTCTGATGTTCTAGGCTGCTTAATTTGGGGGTAATTTCTTACACACAGTAGATAACTAATAAACCATGACAGCAACATAGATTTGGTCCATCTGGCCCTTTCTCAAGAATTAGTCCACTTCCAGATGCATCGATGTTAAACACTTTTGATCAAGGAGATATGATAAAGAGTTCCTCCTGGATTGAAATGAAGGTTACCCCGGAAGCGCAGAAGCGCAGATTATGCACAGAACACTACAAGAATACTTATCACTTGCATAAGGTTTATTTTAGTTTATTCGGGCCCTAGAATCTTTCCTTAAGTCATTTGCAAGTTAAAATATAACAGCTTAGCTGCTACTGGTGTTAAATTTTTCTCTTCTCTGTTCTTCGGATTTACTTACCTACCTAATGGCCAATTGACCAAGATCTTTCTACATCTGAATTATAACCTCAAGAAGGAAATATGAAAAATAGTAAAGGGCAGCAAAGCTACAGGTCAGAGATGGCCCTCGGTTCATAGTATGGAGCTTTAGGTCAGAGATGGCCCTCCGTTCATGGAGCTTTAGATCAGAGACGGCCCTCCATTCACAGTATGAAACTTTAGGTCAGAGATGGCCCTCCATTCACAGGATGGAGCTTTAGATCAGAGACGGCCCTCCATTCACAGTATGAAACTTTAGGTCAGAGATGGCCCTCCGTTCATGGAGCTTTAGATCAGAGACGGCCCTCCGTTCATGGAGCTTTAGGTCAGAGACAGCCCTCCATTCACAGGATGGAGCTTTAGGTCAGAGATGGCCCTCCATTCACAGGATGGAGCTTTAGGTCAGAGACGGCCCTCCGTTCACAGGATG